GTTTGAAACTGCGCATGTTTGGAGCTGCTGGAGCTGAATGTCTGCTCCGACGGCAGATGTAGTGTCATCTCTGACATTCTGTGTGTTCAGTATTTTTACCTATAAATAAAGTTTTCAATATTTTTTTAATGTTAAATGTTTTACCTCTATATTGTCTACATGTATTGACTGCAACACATCAACTCGTCAAAATGTATAGAACATTGACTGAAAATATTAAATCAAAAACTACCAGTTACGTTAAAATACAATTTTTACGACCCTCTCTCGACTGAGAATACGAAATGAGAAAGGCTTGTTGATATGAACTTGTTTTCCGGGATTGTTTTTTTATTTATCATGCCGGTTTACAACGCTCAACTCTGATATTGGTTAAAGTTCAAGCTATATCCGTTTATTTTCCTCCCATTTTCAAGCCGTTACCCAACTTTTATTAATATCTGCAGTGAGTCGATTTTGTTCCACGTATTTAACAGCTAATCCAAGTGGAAGTGCATCTTCGTTAAAATAAGATAATTAAAATAACGTTTGCATTGACCCTAGCAACCTGTAGCAAGGTAATACCTGATAAAATACTCTTATTAGTAAGGCAATCAGTTATTCAAATGTTGTATGCAAATGTATACGATATCGACCTTTTGTCATGATGTAATGTCTGCTTTATTGAAAGCATGCACGACATTCGTGTAAACGATCAATACTATTGGCACACCTAGTATATACCACATGGGGCTGTTTCTGTATGTGAAATGTACAATACCTTACTCTATTTTAACCTTTAGCTGTCCATCAAACATGAATATTAAAGCGCGGTAGTCATTTGTGTTGATAAACATAGATTTTCCCACAATCCAATGCGCTCTTCAAATGGAAATTACAAGTATGAGGTTTGACCTGGGCGAGATTTGCACTGATTACCGCCGGTGACTCCTTCGATACTTTCCAATCACCTAAAAATTACCTAATTAATGCTTAGAAACGTCCCAGTTTATACTCTTTGATCTGCGCAACAGTCAAAATGGTCATCTTTGTTTGTATGAGACCCATATATCTCGCACATGCGTGGCGCGACGACTACCGCCCTTTAAGATATGGGCGTAGAATTGAATTCAATGCTCGATGATTTAAATGATACTGATTATCGCCGGTGGCTCCTTCGACACCTTCAAATCACCTAAACAGCCAAAGTCGCCATCTTTGTTTATATGAGACCCATATATCTCGCACATGCGCAGCGCGACGACTACCGTGCTTTAATATATAAATATATATATTAATAATTTTCCCAGGCATGTTGGTGTTTATACTACCATAGAACGATCACCACCAATTGTATATTTAAAAAAAACAATAACATACTCACCAGCACACTGTATTGTTTGTTCATCTGGGAATGCATCGGCCTTCGCCGGTTTCCACGGTACCAACTCTAGGGGAAGCACTTCCAGAAAGTAAGTCTGTTTCGGGAATAATTAGATTAATTTAAAATCTTAGTTTATTTTAGTTTAGTTTAGAAAACATCGAGAAGAAGAAAACAAGCAGATGGAAACACAAACAATGCCCCCCCCCAAAAAAAAAAACACAGAGGACCACATCGAAGTTCATACCTAGGATAGGCAACAAAGTCACAGGACCAACTTATTTTTCGTGGGGTCCTAACACCATACCAACCGGAAGTACCAAAATAGGCATCAATGCAAAAATACAATGTAAATAATAGACACAAATCAAATATAAATGCGTCAAATTTTCCCGGCATTTCTTCGCTATCTGCTTAAAATGCAATTTATCACAGATATTTGTTACTATTCGTGGTAATTTATTCCATTCTTTAATTCCGTTATATGACAGTAAATGATCTTTGCAGATATGCTGGGCTACTGTTGTTAAAATTATCAAACACATAATTTAGCCGAAGTTATGTAATCCTGTTATTCACATCCAAAAATTGACCCCGTTCTAAATTTATCTTATCATTAAGTACTTCGGTATATGGTTAAGTACACCGGTAGCTAAATAATTTAGGTACAAAATTATTTGTAATACTTTTTCAAAATTATGTTTATCTACAATAACACTTATGTTTATTATTTTTTGAACTACTTACAAAATCAAACCAATAAAACTAAAATTAAAATAACGCATACTGTCTGCAGGAAAACAATAGCCAATACCGTCTAGAAAATATCTGTTTTGCAACTATTGCTGGTGAATGTTTTCTTTTTTTAATGAACCACACAACATTTAAAGTAGTTACGATCCTTACTGTGTAGCAATGTTAAATGTTCCGCTAATGGCTATCTTGGATGGGGGGGGGGGGTTACCACAATTTAACGTGGTGAACAAGCACGTGACAATGTTATGATTGATTTGGAATTATAAAAATGAGTGTCATGTGAATATTAAATTACTGTATAATTATTGTATAAACATACCTTGGTATTTGGATATAATGTCATCTGTGTTGTCCTATGCAATGCAACTTACACATTTGTGTAACCAGCATGTATTTCCATTTGAACAGTCATTATTGTCAATGCACACACCGTCAGCATAGCTTTGGAGTACACCAGTCGTTTTCTTCACTGCTGTGTCTGCTTGAGGAATCATAGTTGATCCAGTTGACGCCTGGATCGTCATAATTCCGATAACAGTGTAGAATACCTATGCGTATATGACAAACGTTACAGCCTCTGACCACTATAGTAGTCTGAGTTACGGCGTAGTTATGCGTCGCCTGCTCACACGATTTCGTATCTGTTCAGATATCTCCCTCTTTACGAATCGATTTGTTCTATGCCCTTACAATTTCGTGACATGGCAATGGAATATTGAGGGGCTCGGGAAAGCTCCGCTACAATTAAGAGACGATCGGAAATTGGATTGTAAATAAATACGTCTATTCTCAATGTCCGACAATACAACGTACGCCTCGATCATCGATAAAGACACCCATGACTAAGCACAGTCCGCATATACCATAGTACGTCCATGCATATACAAACCCAACATATACACACTGACTGAGTAAGACGATCAGACGGTGCCCAAACAACGGTTGAAAATACGCCTCAGGAAACATTTAGGTTCCTGATTAAAGAAAGTTGCCAAGATCGATAAATATAATACTAGTACATAAAAAATGATCGTTGGTAATTGCAGTCATTGTTCACTATTACGTAATGACTGCAATTGCCGACTACCAGTGTCCATGTATTACGTTCCTGTTCAGTATGCGGCCCATCTTTGAAATGGACATACACAGAAGAATTTCAAGAAACAGTACAGTGTAAGGTCGTATCGTAATCTAAAATAAAAAGTCAAAGCAATGTAGAATACTATACCTCGTTGGTTTATATAGCATGTTTCTTGTAAAAAAAAATGGAAATTCCCTGGGCAACTACAAGACATAACCTCACCCGATGATTCAACTTCCGGTAACACGTACATATTTGACAGAAGCATTTTGAAAAAACCTCAACATTATTTTTTTAGTTTACTCAAATTTAAGTGACATCTGAAATAATATTTTCTGTTAGGTCATGGATCTAGAAAAATCATTTGGTATTTTTTACCATACACACACACAGTATATATTCGCTGTGGGTTCAGCTGAGATCGCTGACTGGAGATCCAAAGTACGTCCAGTTATCATTTAGATCATCGAGTTAAAAAACATTCAAAGTCCATGTCTTAGAAACCACTTTTGAGAAACCACAGATAAATTGTAACTCGAAGTTAAATTTACAGTTAACGGAACTACAGTTACGGGCAACATAGATATTGTTTTTGCCGAACGTCCAAACTTTGTAACTCGAACATTAATTAAGGCAGTTAACTGAACCGAATAACTTGACCAATCACAAGCCTTGGCGAATGAATTCCAACTGCATAGAACTCCACTGCGGTCATACGAATGTCAACAAAATAAATAAGCTTCCATAAAACCTGATTAAACAAAATAATAAATATTTGTTTAATCAAAACAGCTTTTCGTCAGTCACTTTTAGCTGTGTGATATATTTCTCCTATCTTTGTAATGAATGGTTTATTTTATTCACAGCATGAGAACATTTTCAACTGTTTTGTAGCTGTAAATTTAATGAAAACTATTTGTAAAACATGAGTTGATTTTGTGTGTGTTTCTTAATGTTCGTATTTGCTTTTTCTAACACTTTATCTCTATCTACTTGATCGATTAGCGAAAGTCTAATCAAATCCAATCAAATTAATTCGAAGAAATCTGGGTTATATGCGGGCGTGGCAATAAAGATCAATAGCGTAGAAAATCCAAGTGGTTGTCATGATATCGTTTTCATAGTCGTAGTTATTCGTGTTACCATACAGTGTATCACCCGCTGCTCTGTTTTTTTTTGTCATTTCGACCAAATATGGCTTAGTCCGACGTCCACATACACAAACCCAGGTCAAATATTTGGAATGCTTGTACTCCAAATCATGTCAAATTGCAAGATGCAATGTCATGTGTAACCAAAGACCATATAAAGTACATGTATTTTATAGTGTCTAGTTATGTAACCAAGAAACCAACATCTGTTTGTTTTTTCATTTGTGTGAAAGTGTATATAGTTCACATTTGATATCACAAGGTCTATGGGATAATATTAAATACTCCAACAAGTTATAGTACTAATATTTTTCAATTTTCCAGTCCATATTTCTGACTTTCAGGACTATACAGTCTGGTTTTTCGATACAACAATCTACTCTTCTATCTACAACCAACTTTCCCGAAAGTATAGTCTTTTCTAGAAACCTTTTCGCGATTTTTTTTTCTCTATTTATCATGCTATTTTCGACTATCCAACCAACTTTTCAATTTTAATGTCGAAACACATTGTCATAATATCGAAAAGGTGCTCAAAGGGGTCGTTAAAGCATATTATATCAGCGGACTGCCATCTAAAGCATATAAAGGTCATAGGTCAACTTCAATTGATATGAATTTTAAAACCTTTAAATGACCGCCAATTCAAATTAGATCTGGCTGAATTCCATAGAGTCGAAAAGTGATTGAACGTTCTCAAAAGTTAAACTGCATCAGGCATGGTGAGGAAACCAGCTTGCACAACTTTTTTAGTGACATACGCCAATTTAAGCTGTAAATTTAATAACTTGATAATAGTTTGCTGAAAGGGGTGGAAATAGTTTTTAAGTGGCACGTAGTTGGCTTTTGTAGATGGCAAAGGTTGGCAGTAATTAAAAAGGCCAACAGTTTTGTGAAATGTGGTTTGAAAATTTGTGAAATTGCTTGTAACTTTGATCAATTTTGTTGTCTTGTCAAAACACATAGTTCGAAACATTGATCAAGAGTCGGCCAACCCTTTTTTTTTTACACAATCTAATTACGGTACACGAGTTTTCAAGTAAGTTTAACGATCTTGAATGCAAACTTCCAGCTTTTACAACCTTCTTGCCGGTATATACGACTTTCCATCAATCTTTTCTAACTTTTCAGTCAATATTTTTGACTTTTCCAATTTTCTTGGCAACTTTTTAAACTGTTAGCCGAACTTTTATAACTTCAGCATACATTTTTGAGTCTCCAACCACATATAACTTTCACAACTTTGTCGACTTCCTACATCATTCTTTCACAACTTTCCACTCAACATTTTCGACTTTCCAGTCTGTTTTTGTGGTTTTCCAACAAAAAAACCTTTTCAACTTCTCAGTTAACTTTTAACTTAAATTTTTGACTTTTTCTATCATATTTTCGACTTTCCACATCACTATGACATTCCAGGTAGCTTTTTCAACTTCTTATCCACATTTACAACCTCGCAGCCAACATTGCAGTCAATATATATAGAACAGCTAAAAATCAGCTAAATCATGCAAATGACTGGATAATTTATATGCACAGATTGCAACTAAATTATCAGCACATATGTGTTTAAAAGTTTGATAGATATTCAATTAGTGGTTCTGGAGGTATATGTATCAGTGGACAGACAGAGAGATAGGCATCTTATGAATATCTACATGTGATGTCATCAGACACACTTGGTTTGTTAACATTTCTGTGTTGTTGGTTGTACAAATGTAATTTCTTACACATAACACTGATGCCAACACAATTACATTCTATCATATAGAACTACACACACAAAACTGTTAAACATAATGCAATGACATTTTTAATATGAAACACAATAAAGAACTCTAAATACAATTGTGCAAGAGTTCACAACTCAAATATTTGCATATATGTGATACATTTTTTGTTATCAAGAGCACTGTCTCAGAAATAGTCATTATACACACAAAGAAAATGTCCTTATTTTGGTAGTCAGTATCTGCAGATTAAACAATTCAGTTTTACAGGTAGCGTGGTGTAGTGTTTAAGACTAGTGAAAACATGTCTAGCAAGTTTGATACATCAACAAATTTACATATGGTAATTGTGACCTCAGAGTCAGAAAGAATACAAAGTGAACAAGTCACTACACTTGTACTTTGAGTACAGTAACAAAAAAAATGTTTACCAGCACAAAACACAATGGTATTGCAGTACAGTACAAATGAAAGATTCTATGCTGTAACGAAATGTCACTAGACTGAATAGTTTGTCAAAAAAATATTCAACGAGTTTAATTTTATCAGACTTGGTTTTAAACATGTAAAGTGAGGTAAGCAATACATTTCATGAATAACTTGTTGACTGGGTTATAATTTAGTGTATTTATCACTATAATTATTGAAAATTAAACAATATATCACAAAAGCTCTCACATATGCACTAGAGTCCGACTACAGTCCCTGTGTTGTGAATGACCGAGGCGGTTGCCAGGCATGTTACAATTTGGATAACACCGAATAGGGTAACACTAATTTATATGACAAACACAATTGTGAATTTTCATGAATAACTTGTATGTATACAAAAAAAAATGTATTTTATCATGTAGTGTATATAAAATTTTGAATCAATATTCCCCTGAATTTGATTTTATATACATGGCCACTAGGCAGCCGTGTTGGTTTAAAATCTGAACAAAACTGGTTTGTGATCAAGCACGATAGTCAAATAATTATAAATCTACAGCTTGCTAGATATGTTCACCCCTGAGGAAAAAAAATTTGCATTTCTTGAGAAAATTGAGTAAATCTATATTGGTGGCACAATAATGACGTCAAATACTACACGCTATGTTAATCATAACACAAACACACGGCATAAAGCTATGAAAATATTACCAGGTAAATAACAATAAAAGATTTAAATAAAAAAAAAAAACATCACAAAATATTCACATTTGTAAAATTAAATAGTAATTATAGCAGCATAGTAATTATCAATGTGCACTTTGAAAATATCTGAGAATATTACAAAACATCAGTTAGTTGAAGATTTGAACCGTGAACCGCACACATCGATTAAAACAGACTTTGCATAATGTAACTATTGTATAATTGTTCGCTGTGTTCGCTACTAGTAATTATATTGCAAAACAAATGAAAACTAAATTACAAATGCCTGACGTTATAAATGAGAATTTGAAGATCTGTTCACTGTTGTCTACATGGTACCAATGGATGCACACCTTGTTTTTGACAAGAACTAGTTTTCAGAGTAGCCAAAGTTGTGCCAAATAGAGGCTGATGCCATTATTGTTGACTCCTTCCATACAGGAATTAGTTGTGTGCTATCATCTAAATATCCATGTGCCAAACATTGTATATAGTTGTTGAGATTATGATTAGCAACCCCATCCCCCTTTAGTGAATTTTTAAAAGACACAAATCAGTTCAAAACACATTTACATGTTAAAGCGTGGTGGTCGTCGTGCAGCGCGTGTTCGAATTTCATGTAAATAAACAATGTATTTTACACGCATTGTATACGTCGCTATGAGTCCCATATCGAAGAGGACGCGGCACGATGACCACCGCACTTTAAATAAAAACCCACCTAAATAGCACAACCAATTACCTATTTTGTATTACCCGGTACTCTAATTTCTTTATTAGTAAATGCCGGCCAGAGGAATGGTCTTAGATCAAAACAAGTCATATTTTAATGATCCAGTAAATGCAAATGCTGCTTCACATGTGGTTATACAATTTTTTTGTATAATATCTCAATGTCCAGGGGTTGTAGGCTACTAATGTACATCAAAAGTAACCTTTGTACAAAACACAAACATAAACATAAATTCAGTAGGTCAACCAATCAGTAAATGGTGTGTAAAGAAAAAATTGTACTTGATCACTGATTACTGATAACACCTGTGTTATTATTAATGACAGGATTTTCAATTTATCTAATGGACCAGATAAGGTAGTACTTCTCTAAGACTTCAGAACATGACGACATACAGGACACGTACCAGACTGTAAGGCAAATATACAAAATCGTTGTTCATAAGGTTATTATTCTGGAATCAATCATAGTAAACAAGTCATAGAATAGTAAACAAATTCATACAGGTACATATATGACAGGATGACTGACATGATAAAATTAATTTTCCAATGAAAAGATATTTTGGGTGATTTGTAAGGAGATTATTCACTAATGTGTGACGAGTTGAATGTAAAATATAGGAAAATAGGTATATTCGCTGGATTTTATTTTTACTGAACATCTCATCAGCTATAATAAATTCCAAGCAAAAATAAAATATTTTAAAATAATTTAATGTAAGTATGGTATACATTTAAATGTTAAGCAAGTCAGTGATATGTTTATTTTTAATTTGTAAAACCAAATTGGGACTTTGTAAGCATGGGAACAAACAATATCTATCAAGATTGTTTCCTGGATTGTCTTTTGTTGATTATTAAGTCACTAGAATTACAAAATTTTGTAGTAGTGAAGATTTCCCTAAATACACAGTAACAACTTTTGTGAAATTTAGTTTTTATTGACAGATAATTAAATCATCAAATGACAAAAATTCCTAGCAGCGAAAAAATAAATGGATTATAGTATAAATTGTCAATCAAAATAGTGAAATTAAAAGATATATGAACAAATAAAGTAACTAACCTTCTGTAACCATGCATTAATACAAATAGGATGGAATAAGTGATCACAGGGTAGCTTGTTCACAGTGTCATCTATTTTATATTCACACTGACAAATTGCACAGCTTATTTCATCATCTGAAGATAAAAAAAGACATATATAAAACTCTTTGGACATAATCTGTACCGGTATGTGAGAAACCTGGAATAACTGGACAGATAGAAAAACAAACTGATTCAAGATTACTGGTTTTGTAAATGGTACTAATGGTAACTAAGGTGTGCTCCCTTTTAAAAATTTATTCTATAAAAAAAACCGAAACAGCATGGCGATACCTACTTTTTAAATTAACTTGCTACGTAACTTGAAACTTGTGTGTAATAGTATAATAAGTCAATAATTCTGTATATTGCATACTTTAAACATCACAATTTCTGTTCGGATAATTATGCAAATTAGTATGTACATTTTTTTAAAAGTGGTTAACATATCTGGAGACAACACTGATTTAGTGTGACTTCATATGCAAGTTTTTTTTACATAGAAGTTCATGAGGTGAATGAAGTCTGAACACATGCATGTTTTTGTGAGTCACAAGAGTCTTGCATATCTAAATTTTCCACTACACTACACGCTGCATTTGGTTAGATTATATTCTGACTTGCCACTCTACAAGCACTAGACAGATCGACAATGGAAGTTTCAAAATGGAATGCAAAATAGAGAATCTTTGATTCATTGAAGGGAATTCAATATTTGTTGTAACATGTCTGGGGCATCTTTACTTACCAATTTGTTTTTTCACTACTTTTACTTTTGGTAATGTATCTATAATATCTTGGGTAGCAGGTGGAGGAGCTTGTTCTCCTTGTAACTCAGGATGTAAAGCCAACATCTGTAATATAGCATCCTATCAAGAGAAAAATTAAATATTTACATGTTCCCTAAAAGTACATTGCTTTAATACAGCAGGCGACTAATCTTGTGAAATGTCTGCTGCATACATATAGAGGGACATTCACTCGTTTAGTGGCCTTAAAGGCACAGGTCATGCTGACAACACAACTACATGTAGTGTTCTTCCCAAGTAAATAGCAGCATCAGCTAATTTGTATAAAAATAGAATATGTTAATCATCTTTATTGTATGCATTAACATTCCCAATTGATTCTATTGTTTACTAACAATTAACAAGTTGGGAAGCCCTACTTTATAATGACGCCCAAAAATGCATGTGATCCAAACAAATGCATTGTGGGTTTAATCATCTGTGCCCCTAAACCTGAATCAGGTGGACAAAAATGCTTTCATTCAGACATGGCATGGAATTGTTATAAAATAACAGAACTAAAGAATATAATTTTTATAATTATTGCATCAACAACACTGCACTTTACATTACACCCCTTAACAAATTATATTCAAGTTTTATTTAAGTTTCGTTTTTGTGGCAAAGTATGTTACTCTGACCTAAAAGGTGGAATCTTCATGAAATCGCATGTGTTGCAACATGATTGAAAAGTTTTAGAAATGAAATAAAATGACAATATTGGACCATAATGTGATTAATGACATGATGTACAAGATCTTTGGCATAGAAAATATTTTCTAATTTGATGTAATTTGAGTATAATACATTCTAACATACTGTAAATGCATTAATTATTCACTAAGTTTTAATTTTTTTTTTTGCTGATAAGTAAAATTTAAAAAACTAAATCCACATATACATGTAAAATAACAATGATTGCCAAATTTGTGAACTTAAAACTAAGTGAATATGATCAAAACATTGCAATGCCAGTGAAAATGAACAGTTTTACAGAAACCCCATTCCATAGAGGGAGGGAAAAAAGCATAATAAATATACATGTTACTCACTTCAAATAACATCTGCATAAAGTTTTGAGTATAACTACTCTGTACAATCAAACGAAATGGGTTGGTAGGCGGTTGTAGGTGAACGAATGGAAAGAAATCATCAGCACCATTCCAGGAATCAGCAGCTCTGCTCAATGAAATAAAGAAAGGTCTAGATTCCAATACAAACAAAAAACAAGACTGCCTTGGGATTTCTAATTTCTACAGTTCAGGAAGAGGTGTTAGTTTTCATTCAAAATTTTCTAATTTTTTATTGTGTGTGAAAACTGACAGTGGAATGATGGTCCAGTAGGCGACATCCTGTGTGTATCACGAAGAAATAGGGCCAACAGGCTGGCAAGAACAGATTCCTGCAGGATTATATGGTTGTAAATCAATCCATTTAACATAAGCTCAAGTCACACCAGTAGTAGAGTAGAGCATAGACCTTACAGTTGAGGAGGGTCTATGAGTAAAAGGATTCTGGGAGGTGGCCAATTTTTCCAATAAAGAAATAACCAAAATCAGAAAAGCAGACTGGGACGGGTAATGTACAAATTGCCTGTCTCTGTGGTCAGGCGAATGAAGATATCAAGTTTTACTAACTGACTAAATGGGGTAGTTGCTAATATCCAGAAAATTGCTTTCAGAATTTTCAAGACTTGTGATGAGCCAATAATTAAAATTGTATTTTAAATAATATTTTTTCATCTTGCCAAGAACAGGTACATCATCACATGGAACAGATACTTTTATTCACCAAGCTGTCCAATGGACAGGCAACCTAATTTTTTAATTTCAATGTTAATTGGGGCATAAATCTGCTTCAAAAAAAATAACTAAAATAGGAACTTTAAATGAAATGGTTTAGAATTTTAGCATGACATACCTATATAAAACTTCTTCGTCCTCCATATCACTCAGTTCACCTTCAGTGTACTCAAATTCATCAGAGTTACTGTCAGAAACTAACGGCGGCAGTCTATGTGAAGCTGCCCCTGCAGCCAAGAGATGGCCGTTACGACGACTACCACGTGAAGAGAGCTCTGAAAAATCAGAGTCAGAGTCGGAAGTCAGGGAGGGCATAGAATCACACGAGTTAGTATCAGAACTAGTATCGCTAGAAGAGGAAATATTGATTAAATCTGGGAGCATATCTTCCAAACTGTCAATACTACTTTCACTACAACTATCTTCATCAGAATAACTAGTTGCATGAGCAAAAGCTCCCAAAAAAGATGCTACCATGTCAGAGCCTAACAAGTTAGAGGCGTCACCTTGTTCTATCTCAGAATCAGAATCTGAGCTATCACACAATGGCGGTAATGAGGCTACCATATTTGCTGCAGTATTTCTTCTGCGTGATGCCAAGGCAACGTCAGTACTGTTTGATTGTTTCTTGGATTTCTTTGTCTTTTTTCTCAAAGCATCTTTGTGTCCATTAGTCGAAGTAGCACCAATGTCATCATTAGATTTCTTTTGAGTTTTACTTTTTCTTTTTGGTGCACAGTGAGTTGAACTATCTGAGGTACTACGTGGGCTATCTTTAGGATTTTTGGAATTTGGTTTTGCGTGAACACTTGAACTACCACTACCACTGGCAGTAGCCTTTGCACCATGTTTGACATGTTTAGATTGTTCCTGTTTGTCACCTGATGACACTGCTCTCTTGCGTCTAAGTTGCTTCTTTTGTGAATCCGGGGAGTTATTTTTAACTGCCTTTGGCTTCCCACCCTCTGACTGCCAGTTCCGATCATGCAATGTTTGTTTCCTAGTTCCATCACTATCATCTTTAGATTTCAATTTCCGTAGTTTGCCCTTACCTACAGAGATTTTCACCTCCTTGGTAGAATTGCTTACACCTTTTTTAGTTCTAGCACCTTCTTTTAGTTCCTTTTTAACTTTAACAGGTTTAACTTTTGTATCACTTTGTACCCCTGCATGCGAGTGTCCTGGTTTTATTCCAACACTGACACCACTACCACTTTGAGAACCATCCACTTTACTACTGCTCCTCTTCATGTCTCTTTTTCCCATTTTTAGATTGGATTTGTCAAAACTGGTAAACAAGTTTGCCAATTCAACTTTTCTCGCAACTAATTTCACTTTGTCTTCAGACTTCTTGCACTGGATTAAAAAAAAAAGTAAATTTAACAATTCTAGCCGTATAAGAAATTTCTAAAAGCACAGGACATGTAACTTGCCATATCACACTACGTGTAATACTCGTTAATAAGAATTTTTACTGAATACTACCGAGTAGTAGTATTAGAAAATCATCTCCAATAGAAGCACATACTGTGAAGTACTCTATTTTCGGAAAGATTCAGTGAAAATAAAATCCAGCAAATAAACCTTTTTTTCCTATATTTTACATTCAAATCTCCAAAAATCAGTGAAAATGAATTCTATACAAAACATCCAAAAAGTTATTTCAGCGAAAAATAATTCCAGATAAAATAAAGTATTTTTCAGTATAACCTTAAAATTGCATTTGTTGGATACTGAATATGAATTATTTAAATATTTCTTATTTTGTCAATAGAAATACTTTGGTAATTTACACAGATGCACGTGCTACTAATGGTACCGTAGGATTAAAAAACACAAAAAAACTAAGATATAATAATATACATGCTTGCAAATGAACTTGCATACTGCGAACTGTCATCAAAAGAACAGAGACAGGAAACAGGAAGTCTCATTAAACAAATAGAAAACAAGAACAGATAGCTACATGTACTCAACACTTGAACAGTCTGTGATTGAAAAGATATTTTCTTTCAGGAAAGGTCGTGCGTATGTGTAGTTTATAAAGTCACAGTATCACAAGTTACCTGGACATTAATTTCTTTATTGTCAGCGGTTTCACAAAAAGTTGAAATCGGTCTATATGTCATGTATGCATATTGACGCCCATAACGTCTGCCGGACGATGACTGGTACAAATATGGTCTACCACCCTGGCCAACCAGGTTATTTTCCATACTCCATTGACACTTGCATGTAAAATCTATAGAAAAAGAAACACAAACATCAAAAACAAACGGGAAAAAATGAACACTGACTATTAATTTCTTATTATGGTGTTGAAATTTAAAATAAAATTGGGTATTGTATGATACTGTAAACGAGAGGGTTTGGTATGTTTACTTCGACTCGCCCCGATCAACCAGAATTCTGAGCACGATTCTTTTTTTAATATGTGTGTAACTTGAAAAAAATACAAGTATATGCATGAACAACAAAATGTTTGAGGTTTTAGACACAAAAAATGTGAACTAAACTGCAAAGTCTGTGTACGTGTTCCAAATGGCGCGTGGAAGTCGTAAGCGCTCTACGATGACACGGATTTTCAGTTGCAATCACCTTAACAAACAAGTAACAGAAACAAATGTCTTGAAATGTCCTAGCTTGGCACAAACACATTCCTAGTCATTTTCGTCTTCCCTATTGAATTACGAGTAAGAACAACTTACCACTATTTCTGCGACATGCTCATAAAATACGAAAAAACAAATTAATCAAATAGAAGTGAACTGTTCCATGCAAAAACAACACAACGAAACGGAAATATGTGTGTTTGTTCGTTTAATGTTTCCTCAAACCAATAAAACATCGCACCGGATGTCGCGAGTTCGCGAGATATGTTGTGGTAGTACAGGGGAGTTCGTGTTCAATTCCTGGTAAAAACGAATATTTATAATAATCGAATTAAAAGATTAATTTCGTTTTGGCGAGAAATTGTGTTACAGCCAACAAATGGAGCGAAGTTAGCCTCAGATTCAGGTTCACTCAGGTTCGAATTTTTAATTCGTCGTCGGTGTTATAACCGCAATCGACTGCATGTGCCAATAAAAAAAATCGTAGAACCAGCAACAAAAACAAAAACAATAACAAAAGAGAAAATCATAAATTAATCAATTAGTAAGTTTGAGTTTCATGTTCTACAGAACACCGAATGGGGTAACTTAAAAATTTTATGTGAACACCGGATTTTTTTGACATTATAAACTCTGCAAGCCTAAATCTTAGGAAAAGATTTTACACAGAGTGGAAAAAATACTTTAAATTCATCATGATTTTTTCCCCAAAAACAATGTGAAGTAATAAAAAAATGTAAAGTGTGTAAATAATGAAAGGTGTTTTGCATACTCAAGCATGTATATTCTCAAACTTGTTTTATACTTATTTTTACAGTTGATACAGTTGAAGATTGACTGTTGTGCCAATACAACAAATTGAAGGACGAATCTCATCCCAGAGAATCGATGTGAGAAATCATGGTATAATGGAGTTTTATTTCTACATTTCACGATATCAGCGAGGGGAGTCGTCACCTGTGCATGCGTCAGATGGCCATAGCGTGTCATTGTTTACAAACAAGCGTCTGCCCAAGAGTCGTTGCGTTTTTTAGCGCGTGTTGTTATCGGCGCTTGGGACTCAATTTTCGCGCATGCGCAGGTGACGACCCCCCGCTTTAAATTACATACTTTTATATATATTCTTATCATAAATACTATTAAATAAAAAGACGCGTATTATTATAATTGGTAAAATTTACCCTTCCCTCCAAAAAAGGGGTCTTAAATTAACATAACCGAGAAAAGGGACTCAATTGCACTATAGATATCTATACAGGAGAGGGCGCAGTCCTTTTTCTAATTTGGAGACCCCATGGACCATGGACTTTCCCATAAAAGCCGTCACTTAACCATTTTGGCGTTACATTAAAATTATTAACCTGATTTGTATTTTGTTTGTTAATACTATTTTTAGACCCAAAAACAATTTTAAAATGTGTATGATTTGTCCTGAACTTTACAGGAGTCGTCTCCATATCATTTTGGTTTTAGTTTATAGGTCACTCGTGACTCATACGGACTCGGCTGAAGCTAGCAGACACTCCCAGCAGACAGTGGAAGCTAGCAGACACACTAGCAGCCACAGCCTATAAGGCATAATAATGCTTTGAATCAAAGTTTATCACATCTTTTTGCATCACGTAATCATAGTTTGACATCAATATATTAATATAAATGGCTAATATTCATTTAAACAGAGAAATTCTAACAAATGTACTCACTCCC